ATAAGAAGTCTTCAGTTGAAGGAACTGGAAAACCAATCCTAAACATGAAACAAGGGATAATCCTCTACTCCTGTTCTACACTCACATGTAGTCATTCTATTCAGAGATGCAGTAATCTTTTGCATCATAATTACAAAAAAGACGAAACAGCAATAAAAACATCACATATATATATTTTATAAGCTTTTCACCCCAAGCAAGACGGGAGTGCCACTAGCACGCAAGGGATTTCAGAGAGTGGAGGCAAGAGTAAAGAGGCGGGATGGAAGAAAGGATGAAGGGAATGAAGGGGAATAGATCAAGGCATCTGGAGATGTCGATTGATATTGTATTTGAATATTTGGAGATTATAGATATCAGCGAAGCAAGTAAGAAGAAAGGAGTTTCACAGACGGGAAGTGCGAGACATGAAGTTATTGGAGTAGAAGAGGCGGTTACATTTAACCGTTTCGACAATGAATCTGTGGGACTGAGATGACAACCCAGTAGCAAGTTTAAATTCATGCAGTTTGGAAACTAGCGAAAGTAGCTCGTTGGAGCAGTTACCGTGAAACTTTTTGTATAAAAGTCAGTGGGAGATAACGGCACGTCTGTGAGAGAGCGACTGTAGACGAGATGCCAGATGAGGGCCAACCACATTGCGTAACCAGTCGATAAAAATATATATGGTATTTACTACAATAAATTAATAACTGGTGTAGTGGAATATGCGTGGAGAAGCGAAGAATTAAGTTAATCTTCAAAAACGGGTCTACAAATTTCGATAATTTTTTTTTATTTATTTGAGTACTATTTTTATTTCAAATTGAAAAAAATGATTTATGAAGATTCTTTGAGAACAACTTCACACAAAATATTTTGTGTATCCTTTATTTTTACAGTACAACCAAATGAATTGCGTTAGTATAAGATAAACAAAAAATGCGTCTACATGTGAGCGGATGTATGTGACATGTTTTTATCTATGTATAAATTGTAGTTGTCGACCTCATGAAAGAAGGCAGAGGAAAGCAAACTGCTACTGTTGCCACATGTAAACAAACTATCGCTAAGCATTATTTTGTAATATTATATACTCTAATAAATATGCGAAAAGTGTGAGTAATTAATTAGGTGTGAGGATTTCAGTTTTGCTTGTGAAAAACACCCTAGTCTTAGGTTCTCTGAAAAACTACCTAGCAAACAAAAATTGATCATATTTCTAATCGACTCCGGAAGAAACCAAAATTTGGATTTATTAAATCTCAAGCTTATAGGTTAAAAATATCTTCCTAATTTTCAAATATCCCTTTTAAGGAGGGAAACAATTGTCGATCATATTCTGAAAAAAATCCTTCCAAGATTTTAATTCTAAGAAAATTTTACCGCCTGCTAATTCAAAGAATACCGAGCGTCTCATACGACGTCGCTGATTAGTTAATATATATGAATACAAAAATTCGGACCCGTTCTTTGTACAAAAAATGAGTTTCTTTTGGTGTGAGCCGGTTTCGTACAAAAAAAAAATGAGTTTCTTTTGGTGTGAGCCGGTTTCGTACAAAAAAAAAAATAATAGTTTTCAGTGACAGTACTTAAATATATTAACCTTTTTCTACAAGTCTTAAACGGGGTTTCACACTAGTAACTTAGTTATTAAAAATAATTTCCACCCCTATATAAGACCAATATTTGTGTATGAATACACTGGCCACTCCGAGAATGTTTATCTATAAATTAAAGCACAAAATGTCTAACATATGATATACCACAACCACATTATCAGGGAGATTCATCTGCCACTTATCGGACCAGAGTGCCATCAGGCAACACATTAACAAGTAGTATATAAAGATCATAGTAACATTTTAACAGCTACTCACAAAAAATACGTGTAATTTACTCTTTTTGTTTAAGGTCGCGTCTACTTATCATCTCTCAGATGCGTCTCTGTCTTTGGGCAGAGTGCGCTCAGGGGCTTCTCTGTCAAAGGACAGAGGGGCAAATGAGAATATCATAACTGTTTATTTTAACTTGTAACAAGCTACAAGTCCATTTGTTAGCTAACATCCATATAATAAATACGAATGTCAGTGTGTCACTATGTCACACTTTTCCAACTTAACTCCTAGAGGCTGTAGCCCTCAAGAAGTTAACAGGGAGATTAGGCGTTTCTGTATTGCATTTCATCTGAAGATGAAACAAGGCTAGTGGATGAACTGAGTTCTCAGGGTATTTACACCTCTTCTCATGAGGCGTATTGCTATGGGACTCGTGGTGTACATATTTTCTTTTCTTTTTATGTATCGTGGCCTTTCAGGACCTAGGCGATCATGGCTCTCCACTTCCCTTGTGGCTGTCAATAAGTTTCGTACCCGTGTCAACTCCCCCAGACCACGTTCTGCCATCCACTTGCTTAAGCCCGCTAGGTATGTCATGCATTGCTTTCCCTTGTCTCTTTTTCCCCTCTGTTCGACCTGTGAGTATCAGATTCCAGAAACTTCATCTGCCACTTCCTACGCTTCCTCTTTGTTTGCATCCTCTCCAAGACCTCATCGTTGCTGGCTCCGTGATATTCTTAGCATCGATCTGTAGAACCACATCGCTGCCTCGAGTTTATTCTTCATCTTTGAGGAGACCGTCCGACATTCTCTGCTGTATAGGAGGACAGATGTCAGGCAGCAGCTCAGTACTCTTTTCTTTGTCACCGAAGAAATCATCCTGTCTCGCAGTACTCTACCCAGCTTTTGGAATGCATCTTTGGCCATCCTAATCCGTCTTCGGATCTCAGTGTCGCACTTACCGTCGCTGAAATCCCTTATAGCACAATGAGGGTGGGCTACCTGGGAGAGGGATCCGCAAAAAAACTAGGCACTAGTGAAATTGTCTAAAGAGGAGACAAGGCTTGTAGTGAACCAGTGTCATTGAGATGAGTCCATCGACAAATGATCCATTTCGTGTTCAGGTCACATAGCAAAAAAGCTGTGACACCAGAATACTCACAGCACATGCGATTTCGCATTACATGCAAGTAGTTGTACTTTGTTGGACTTTTAGTAGTACTTTCCTTTTGGTTATTCAAAAGAATGTTGAAAGGATTTTCTAGAAAATAACATATTTGTAAATCTTTCTGAATAACCAAGTAAAATATAAAAACCGATACATATTTTTTACAGTCATTTGTTGGAACTTTCAGGTGAGTCTGACATATTTAGGTAGGATATTAGAATAAGCGAATACTTATACTGGGAGAAAATCGTCTACGTACGGATAGAAAATGAATTCAGTAAAGACATAAAAATAGAAAGAGGTCCAAGACAAGAAAATGTCTTCTCACCAAATTTATTCAACCTTCCGGTGAGATGATTCTGAGAGAATCAGTATTCTTAGCAGGATTCCTTATTGGCGGAGACAATCTTAACAACATTAGATATACAGGTGACACAGTGTTGATAGCAGACACAGAATGGAAAATACAAGAACTTCTACAGAAGTTGGTAAAGGAAAATAAGAAAGAAAAAAAAGCATCAATTGTAAGAAGGCAGGATGTACAGTTGTCAGCAATAAGATGAGTCTAGCATTCAAATTACAAATTGGAGATGTCTAAATCAAGAATGTGCTAAAATTTAAAGGTCTGGGAAGTGTTTTAACAGAGGACGGAAAACGCAACACCGAAATCCGAAGGCGCATTGGGATAACGAAAGATGCCTTTCAAAAGCTAAGCAAAGAATCAGGAAAATCTCGTTAGAACAAAAGAAAACAGTTATTGGTCTTCCTATGTGGCAGTGTATGCTGGACAATCTCATCACAGATGAAGAAGAGGCTTGAGGCAATAGAAATGTGGTTCTACAGAAGGATGCTGAGAATATCATGGACTGAACATGTGAGCAACAAAGAAGTTTCAGGGAAAATGGAAACAAAACAAACATTTATACTTAATACCAGAAAGAGACAGTTAACATTTCTAGTGCACATAATGCGGAAAGACGGCTTGGAGAATTTGACGCTCATAGGAAAGCAAAAATATTGAAAGCAAAAAGGACAGGGGAAAGCTGCGGATAACTTATCTAATGAGCTTGCGCAAATGGTTGGCAGAACAGGGATTAGGAGAGATAACGAAATGACAAAATTTACCAAAATACATGAAATTGTGGGAAGCCATTATGACCCGCGTCATTGAGATGTCACGAAAAGACAAAATAAGACACAGAAAATAAGACATGGTTATTATTTTCATGAAGATCATGTTGAAGAGACAATTGGCAAAGATCAAAAAGTCAGTGAAATTTGACAGCCATCAAAGACAGCATTCAAAATTTGACAGTCATCAAAGACAGAATTCAAAATTTGACAGTCATCAAAGACAGAATTCAAAATTTGACAGCCATCTAAGACAGCATTCAAAATTTGGCAGCTATCTCAGACAGAATTCAAAATTTGGCAGCCATCTAAGACAGAATTCAAAATTTGACAGCCATCAAAGACAGAATTCAAAATTTGACAGCCATCAAAGACAGAATTCAAAATTTGACAGCCATCAAAGACAGAATTCAAAATCCACTGAATATTTGGCATCATCACAAGACATTTCAGATCAACGAGCAGAAAATATCAACTGCTTTGGGAAAGAACTTGGTTCACTTCTCCATTTGAAATATTTTTCACATGGGTGATCATAACAGTATCCAAAAGATGTACAGGCACTGGAGAGTTCACAGCCTAGGTTGACCCGATTGGTGCCAAATTTTGATTGATTGGTTTTTACGTCTTATCAACCTTTTGAAGTTTATTTAAAATCAGAAAACATTTTTAGATTACAAAAATTTCTTAGAGATGGTAATCATTTACTGGTACAAATCCTACTAATTAACCCATAACTGGGGGGAAGGTAAGAAGTAGATTCATAACTTTCCCAAAGGCTTATATGCGTGTAAGTGAATATAACGATCTCGTTTTTAATTGGAACTCGATTCTCCGATTTCAAAATCACAGCCGTTGTCCATTACAGCACTCGCACATCCAAGCCTACAACACCTGATACCACCAAGCGGTCGCCCGTCTAGGTACTGACCAGGCTCGACGTTGCTTAACTTCTGTGATCGTACGTGAACCGGAGTTTCAATGTGGTAAATGATATGTAGGCACCGGAATGTTCGCAGCGTCCGATGACGACATTGGTGCCAGAGGTCAAGGATCTGTTCTACTCTGAGAAAATACAGTGTTTGCAATTTCCATGTGTGATATTTAGAAAGAGGCGAGTATATGTTCTGCAGGTGGTTAGGATAATGAATGACATTGACATTTGGGATGAATTCTTACAGTTTAATTGCAAGTACAAGCACATGGGACGATTCCAGGAAGCTCATCACACCTGCAGCGACAATCTGACCTTTTCCTCGAAGAGCAATCGGCAAATAAAGTCAGTTGTCAATACTACATCACTTGACCAGTTCGAGATAATACTGAAAAGAAAAAAAGGTTTGGAGAAAATAATTTAGAAAGATTTATAAAGACTTTTAACCCACGTTTGAGTGGATGTTTGAGGTCAATGTCAGTGAAAAATATTCGCTTTATCTTCAACGCTTAACGACACAAGACACAAGAAATATAAAATTATATATATATATATATATATATATATATGTTTCATTTAAAACGACAGACAAGGTATTACGGTTAAGCTTTTTATTTAATTTTTCTTACGTTCGAACAAGAGCTCTCTTTTCTGGACAAATAGTGTGTAAAAACTGTCCAAATGTTTTATACTTCCGAGCGCTTTCGGCTATACCTTTAGCCATTATCAAGGATGATTCGATTTTTCAGCTTAATTGAGTGTGTATATTATGTATATGTTTTAGTGTGTTGTAGGGATGTTTTAATTTCCGAATACGGTTAGCAAATTGTGGCCTTGTTCGTAGTTAATATTGTTAAGAGTTGGCTTTTTCTTTATTATTATTATTTTTAATCTTTTTTTTACAGGTGGATGTAGTTATTATATATATTAATTACGAACAAGGCCACAATGTGCTAACCGTATTCGGAAATTAAAACATCCCTACAACACACTAAAACATACACATAATGCATAAAACTATAAAACATTTGAACAGTTCTTACACACTTTTTGTTCAGAAAAGAAAGCTCTTGTTCGAACAAAAAAAAAAAATTAATAAAAAGCTTAACCGTAGTACCTTGTCTGTCCTTTTTAATGAAACATGCATAAACGAAGAATTGCTGATTAAATATATATATATATATATATATATATATATATATATATATATATATATATATATATGAAGAAATATAGTCTTAAGATGTGCTATATTTATGAGATAAAGTGCTCAATATCAGAGATAGAGCGTGTGTAAATATAAAAGTGAACATAGAAGTCAACACTTAGAGGCGAGAGTCTGTTTCATCCTAGATGCAATCGTGACCTGACGATTGCATCTAGCATGAAACCGAACTATTTTTTCCTTCAACTGATGGCTGATGCTAACCTCTAAGAGAGCAACTCACTGTGTTTTTTTGTTTTTTAATCTCACATGGAGTGGAATGATTCTATTGAATCGAACCTGCAAGAAAAGTCGGTTCACTATGTTGTGGTAGACAATTATTTTGACCAGAATCTATCTTGCATATTTATTAGTTTACCATTCGATCATACACGGAAATATTGCTCTCACATCTGGTCTGGTTCTTCTGTTTTATAACTAGAGGTTTTTGAAAAAAAAATAACAAGAAAAATCTGCCACGTTATCGATCCTGACCTGGCATCTTGGCTTCAGTCACATTCTCACAACTGTAACGTAGATTCCCTTTGCTTTTTATATAAATGTTTTCGCGGTAATTGTTCTGATCAGCGTTCCTTTTTAGCACCTCGACTTTACCAATTTAAGCGGAGTACTAGATTAGTGCCCCATCTCATAATTACACTGTTGAAATGCCGAGATTTAACCCTAAGTTCTATGCTGAGAGTTTCTTCCTTCGTACTTTCCTGTCATTGACTATCTTAAAAAAATTAAATCCAATGTAAATCATCGTATTCTGTCTCCTTGAATCCTGTTCTTTTATTATCCTCTTTCTTTCACACTAAGTGACCCCTTACACCCTAGTGGCCTTTGGTTGGAGTGAAAAGAAATTGACTAGTTATTTATATTCAAACATTATATGTATGTATGCCTCTTTTTTTAAACGAGTCAGTATTAATTATATACAACTTATATTTTATGGATCTGGACTAAAGGATAGTAGCTAGGATTGAGGAATCGGAGAGCCGAGTTCGAATTCTATTCAAATCCATTACATTCACTTACGTGCTAATACCCTTGGGAAAGGTATGAATTATCTCCCTCCCACCTATGGGTAAATAGCAGGACAACAGTGTTCTATAGCGTTGGATGGCAACTGGTCCACCGCAGAAAGAAATGGAAACCTGCTTCGTCAGTCATGTATCGAAATATACATGATCGCCTAAGCGTGTATCACGCATGACACATAACTGACAGATTGATTAATATATGTGTAAAAATTTCAGATAGTGTATATCTGTAAAAGGACAATAAAAAAAAGATTTTCCTTTTGTCTTTTTCATTAATATATGTGTTATTGTATCGTTATATGTATGAAACATGTACCGTGTATTGACAGAAGTTTATGTATCCTGAAATAATTGCATTTATACTATGTAAACTTTCTAATTTTCATTTCCTTAACCACGAAATATTAAACTGAAAAATATATACAAATGTTAGGGTGTTCGGAAAATAATGTCCGATTTTAGAATAAACTCTATTCCCGAATTAATGTATTTCAACAGCGCTTAAATCAGTTAAAATAGGAACTCATAACATTTCTAACATTGAGTTACAAAGTTATTTATGCTTTTACGATAAAACTCTAATGGTTTGGATGCTAAGATATTTTGAATTCAGCTTCTGCCTTTTCTTTGCAATGGAATATCTTTTGGCTGAAAAAAGTTGTCAAGATGCTCGAAAAAGTGATAGTCAGTGGGCGAGAGATCAGGGAATATGGTGGATGCGGCAAAGATTCGTGTCCCAAGTCGGTGAGATTCTATAGTGCCATCCTTGCAATATGTGGCCGTGCATTGTCATGAAGCAGAATTGGACCTCGTCGATTAGCCAGTGCTGACCACATTTTGCTTAGCTTTTAATTTCATCCAGTTGATGGCAGTAAAGGTCGGTAGTGATGCTTTGGTTAGATTCCGGAAAGCTGTAATGGATAATGCCAATGGCGGAAAACCAGACAGTCACCCTAATCTTCTGTGCAATTTCGGTTTTGAAAAGAGTTTGGGTCCTCCGTCATGATCAAGTCATTTAGTCGATCGTTTACGATTGTCATAAAGGATCCATTTCAAATTTGAAGTCACTATTCGACCAAAAAATGGAACAGTCGAATTTTTGTATCGAAGACACTTCCGAACGTCTTTGACTTCGACATTTCGTAATGTCTTTGACGTTGACACTTCATAACGTCTTTGGCACTTCATAACATATTTGTCTTTGACTTCGACATTTCATGACGTTTTTGACACTTCATAACGTTTTTGACTTTGACACTTCATAACGTCTTTGGCATTTCGTAACGTCTTTGACACTTTATAATCTCTTTGACACTTCATAACGTCTTTGAATTCCACACTTCATAACGTCTTTGACACTTCATAATATCTTTGACACTTCATAACGTCTTTGATACTTCATAACGTCTTTGAATTTGACACTTCATAACGTCTTTAACTTACACTAAGTTTATGGGTAATCTATTTATCGAGTTTCTTCGCCTTGCCATTTTTTTTAGATGGACCGATATTGTTGAAATAGTACCACCCATTATCTGAGACTTTTCTCTGACACGTTGATGTGGGTTTTGTCCGACCAGGGTTTTCAGATGTTTATTGTCAATTGTAGATGTATGTTCTCTACCACCTTGATTCTCAAAACTCATTTCCCTACAGGGGGGACTTCATAAAACAAGCAGCGTAATCTCCAATCAAATGTGGATCTTTCATCCCGTGCTCTGTTAATATTGGCACCAGTTTGAGAAGCGTTATGACCAAACTTGAACTCATGAAAAAAGGTATGTGCATATCTTCTTTTTTTCATACACTATTTACATTATTCGGACTATTGTCCTCATCTTTGTCGCCATATTTATCACAACGTTTCGGCCGTTGAACGCTCCGACATTCTTCAGGTGGTTGGAATGTCAAACTGAACACTTTATTTCGCTCATTGGGGTAGACTGTTCTAGTTCCACGTGCCATGTTTAGTTTTATCTCCTGTTAATTCCCCTCTCCAAGTTCTCCACTGCCTTAAGCGGGTATTGAACTCACACTCTTTGGGTCCTGTCACTGGATCTAACTAACGCCTTGATCCACTGTGTCATGTGTCTTTGCACAGTGGATAATTAAACTGGCACGTGGAACTAAAATAGTCTAGCCCAGTGAGCGAAATAAAGGGTTCAGTTCGACATTCTAACCACCTGAAGAAGGCCTTAGCGTACAAAGTCCGAAACGTAATAAATATGGCGACAAATATGAGTACAATAGTCCGAATAATGTAAATAGTGTACATAATACCTCATCTCAGAAATACAGACAAATTCTTTTTACATGTTTAAGATGATGAGTAGATACTGTTTCAAGTTAAATTCTGAGAAGATTGATATACAACAAAGAAATAATATGTTTCTATTATAATAATATATTAGACCACAATTTTATTCTAAAATCGGACATTATTTTCCGAACAACCTAATATATTACATCCTAGTAATCTATATATACATCTATAACATTGTTCTCCGTGTTCTGTGGTCATTTTGCAACAGGAGGGCGAGATACAGTTCCAGTAGGGTAATACCCGCCACTTAACGCCCATGCTACTCAATATGCTCCGCATGATGTTCAAGAACTTCCGTGACTGATATGATCCTTAGAAAATTTCCCTATGGGACATGTATAGAACATGATGCGACAACGCCTAACTCGTTCAGTCAGCCTACAACTATGCGCCAACTAGCCAACGAAGCGAGAAATAATGTATCTCATAATAATATTCGACATCTGTACGATAGATTGAATTGCTGTACAACACAAT